GTGTGTGTGTGTGTGTGTGTGTGTGTGTGTGTGTGTGTGTGTGTGTTGGGCAAAATTCTCCTTCTCCTGGATGTGCCCACGCTGGGGTGCAGAGATTTCCATGAAGGTGATGTGACTGGCCCAAGGTTACACAGAGAATCAGTAACTGAACATACTTTGAACCTTATGAACCTGCCCCTTCATTTCGCTTCAAAATCATTTATTAAACACTGGATTCAGAATCCTTTTACCTCCTTCTCTTAAGAGTCTGCTTAGAAGGATACAACAACTCAAGCTTCTTAGACATGAGGTTGGCCAAGGCCAGGTACCCCATGGCCAGAGACCCAACTGTCTGTCATCAGTGTGGCATAGTGGAAAGAGTGATGACTTTGGTCTCAGAGGTCCTTGACTTGTATGCCTCCTCAATTCTTCACCAACTGTGTTACCTAGAATATGTGACTCATGTTCCCTAGTCTTTGATTTCCTCATGTCTAAAATGAGGTATAAGATTAGACGATTTTTAAGGGCTTTCCCGCTGTAAGCTTTGGTCTTATTCATCAGAAAAATGTAGATGGTTCATTGTTGTCTGGAGTATGTCATGGGATATTTTTCTCTGTAGATCTTTAGGAAAAGGATATCTCATGGATGCATGGAGTTGTTGTTCAGCAAACATTTGAAAGGTGAAGTTACAAAGAGGCTGATTTGGGCTTAGTGTAAGACAGGACTTCCTAACTATTTGAGTTTCCCAGGACTAAAATGAGCCAACTCATGAGGGAGTGAGTTCCCTGTCACTGAAAGTCTTCAACCTCAACCTGGATGACTACATGTTGGAGCTATTGTCGGGGATGACATAGAAGAAATTCCTCCTTGAGCATGCATTGGATTAGATGACTTCTGAGGTCCCAGAATGTCAGACCTTGGAAGGGACTTTTCAGATCACCTTTTTTTAACACCTTCATTTTATAGATGAGCAAACAATAGAGGCCCAGGGTGGGAAAATGACTTGTCCAAGGTCACTCGGCTCAGTGACTGAGCTAAGACTTGACCTGATTCCTCTTTCCACTTTCCTTTCTGATTCTAAGATTCTGTTGGTTTATTATGGGGTTTTCAAGTCTTCCTAGAAATCAGGGGATGTATTCCTTGACCACAGTGGTTTTAAGACTTCATGTAATCCTAAGGCTGAAGGTAAATCCTCAAGAAACAGATAAGACCCAGCCTGGGAATAGAGAGAAGCAGAGTTCAATGCTGGTGAGTTGTTATGCACACTTCCCAACATCACTAACAGAGGCAATTCTAAAATGAGACAGATAGACTACATGACTCGTGAGCTCTCTTCTTTTCCTGGAACTATGATTCTATAATCTTATGGCAAAAAAAGCAGCCTCTGTCTAGCTGGAGAGAAAGAAAGGGAAGTCCCTGGTTTTTAGGGGCCTCATGTAAGCAGGCATTTCCTCTGACCCATGAGCAAGGAATGGTATATGTTATGAAGAGGCTTTCTGTGCCTCTCCCTCCTCTCCTGACTCAGTTTCCCTCATGGCTCAGGAGGTGTAGAGGTGAAGGAGTCATTCAAGCATGTGGATTTGGAACCAGAGGATGTGGTTTGAATCTTGCTTCTTGCCATTTAAGACCAGTATGAGCTTAGACCTCTCACTCCTCACCTCTGGGCTACAGTCCCTTTACCTGTAAGATGGGGAAGATTGTCTTGGTCAAGACTTCTTAACTTGGGAATCCATGAACTTGTTTTTAAAAAATATTTTAATAACTTTCAATAGGATTGATTTCATTTGTGATCCTATGTCTTTCATTTCAAAGCATTCAAAAAACATGATTCTGAGGAGTCCATAGGCTTCACCAAATTAACTGCCAAGGGTGTCCAGGATGCAGAAAAGGTTAAGGACTCCTGGACTAGAAGATCTCTAAGGTCCTTCCAGTCCAGGAGTCCTTAACCTTTTCTAGAAGATCTGTAAGGTCCATTCCATAGGTAGCTAGGTGGCTCCATAGGGCACAGGGTGCTGGGCCTGGAGTCAGGAAGACTCTTCTTCCTGAGTTCAAATCTGGTCTCAGACACTTACTAGCTATGTGACTCTGGGCAAGTCACTTAACTCTGTTTACTTTGGTTTCCTCATCTGTAAAATGAGCTGGAGAGGAAAATGGCAAACCACTCCAGTATCGTTGCCAAGAAAACCCCAATAGGGTCATGGAGAGTCAGACATGACTGAAAAAGTACTGAAACAAAGGTCCATTCCAGCACTAATGTTCTGTGATTCTGTGAAGCATGGTTTCAGAGGCAAGGGAGAATGCAACACATTTCATATATACACAGAAAATCTTAGTGCAGTTTTAGTATTTAGTGGCTTTAAAGTGTGTCAAGACTATCAAGACAATTACTGTGTGTGTGTGTGTGTGTGTGCATGTACATCTATATGCACAAGTACATATACACAAGTATACATGCTTATATACATTCACACACATATCTATAGCAATATACATGTGTGTTTATATAGGCAGACATCAATACGCGCAGGCATGCCAGCACCCAGGATTCAGGCAACTACATTGCTGTAGGACCCTGGAGAGCACCCAGCTTCTCTTTTGATAAGAGCAGATTTGGGATCATCAATTCAAATGTCTTTGGCTGAAAGGAGGGTTAGAAACACCTTCTCTTGGAGTGTGGTATAATAGAAAATACATTGGATTAGGAGTCAGATGACAGGCAATAGAATGGAAGCCCCATTAGGGCAATGATGGTTTTTGTCTTTTGATCCCTTGTGCTAATGCAGGACATAACACATGAATCCTTCTTAAGTTCTTGGTTTGATTTTTCAATAAATGCATATTGACTGATTATCCTGAGTTCAGATCCCAGCTCAGCTGCTTATGAGCTCTAAGATTTTTGGAAACTCACATCATATCTCTCTACCTCAGTTTTGTCATCTGTAAAATGTGGATGAAAAGGTTTAATTTCTCTGAGTCTGTTTCCTAATTTGTAAAATGGGGATAATATTACTTAATTTCCATGTGTCTCAGTTTCTTCATCTGTAAAATGAGGATATTGGACTAGGTTATTCCTAAGGTCCCTCCTACCTATAAATTTTATGCTGTTATATTTACTTGTATGTTTGTCATCAGAGATTAGCATAGTAACTAACACATAGTAAGTGCTTAATACATGATTCTATATCCGTCCATCCATCTATCTGTCTATCTATCTATATATATCTATCTATCCATCTCCATACATCCATCTATTTATCTATCTACCTATCTATCCATCTCTATTATCTATCTGTCTATTTGCCTATCTATCCATGCATATGTCATCTATGTATCTACCCTTCTGACTACCCATCTAGTTATCCTGCTTTCTATCCATACATCTATCAATCTACCTATCTATCCATCTGTCTATACATGTAGCTATCCATCTATCATTCTATTCAACTACCAATCTACCTATCATCTAACTGCCTATCTATCATCTATCCACATTTATCTTTCTATTATCTACTTTCTATCTCTCCAACCATACAGCCATCTCTCTGTCGGTCTGTCTGTCTGTCTATCCATCCATCCATCCATCTGACTGTCCATCTAGCTATCTATCTAACTATCTTTATAACTTCAGGTTTATGGTATAGCTTAAAAAATGAACTAATCACTGATTAGGATGGGCTAATGACAATGCCCCTTTCTAAAGTGCTTTAATGTTTGCCCATATTATCTCATTTAAGCCTCATGACAACCCCTTGAGATAAGTGCCATTTTACAAAGGAAAAAACTGAGGCCCAGAGAAGTCAACTTGTCAATGTTGCCATAGCTAAGAAGCAGCAGGGCCACATTTTCAGGCTCTAAACCTAATTATCTTTTCCCCACTGCTGCCTCTCCTTCGATCCCCAAAGGACCAGGACCTTCCCCCACAAGCCCACTGAGAAGTGAAGTACTCATGCTGCCACATTGTGATTGGAAAAGGGCTCAGACTTGGTAGGGTCTCCGTTGCCTCCTTTGCCTTCCCTCTTCTAGGAGACAGTAGCACCTCCCTAACACATAACCATGTGTGACCCAGGGTAAACTAATACTGTGGTGGTGAGGTCACCCTGTGTCAGGAGAAGAGAAAAGAAATCATTTCAAAGCTAGAAGAGTCATGAAAATTGGAATGCTTTTTAAATTTTCAAGTGAGAAGATCCAGCTTTATTATAGAAATTATGACTTTGGGGGTCAATGTCATTTTTCTCTTGAGTTGCCAAAAGTCTTCCTGCCCACCTTGGAGTGTATTTTCCCATAAGATGATAGATTTAAAGCTGGACAGGACCTCAGAGAACCTGGCATCTTAGACACTGAAATGTAAGGAACCTCACCGGTCATCTACGCTAGCTTACTCACTTTACAGAAGAGGAAACTGAGGCCCAGAGTGATTAAGTGATGACCAAGGTCTTATAGATAGTCAGGATCAGAGGCATAATTTGAGCCCAAATCCTCTGAGTCCAGAGGCATTTCTTTGCTCATTACACCATGCAACCTCATTCTGTTATGTATGGGGAAACCAAGACCATCAGACAGCAGTGACTTACCCAGAGTCACTCAGTCAGTAGCACCAGAATTTGACCCTAGTGTACTTTTCAGTGAAATACACTGTCTCTTATCCTGTATTTCCTCCTACTGTCTTGAGTAAGAGGTTCAAGTCAATCCCACTTGCACTTATGTACTTACTACATATTAGGCACTGTAGTAGGTAAGGACAAAAGTGGAATGATCCCTGCCCTCAAAGAGCTTACATTCCTCTCCAGGGGAAGAGACATGAACACAGATGCAAGATACACACAGAATTTCACAGATCGAGAACTAGAAGGGGCCCCAGAGGCCGTCTAGCCCACCCCCTCATTTTACAGAGAGGAAAAGTGAGGCCAAGTATGCTAAATTTCTTGCTAGGTCCTTTGGCTTCAAACCTACCGTTCTTTTCTTCAGTGCCACATTGTCTCTAAGGTAACCTTTCTCTGTTTCTGTCTCTCTCTCCTCTCTCTCCTCTCTCTCTCTCTCTCTCTCTCTCTCTCTCTCTCTCTCTCTCTCTCTCTCTCTCTCTCTCTGTCTCTGTGTGTGTGTGTGTGTGTGTGTGTGTGTGTGTGTGTGTGTTCTGGGGAGGGGTTTTGTTGGGAAGAACACTAACAGCTATGGGGATAAGGAAAAACCTTGCTTGCTCTTATATCATCCAGTTTTTTTTTTTAATCAAGAAAAAGATTCTTAGATCTAGTCATGGAAGGGAGTCAGAAGTCTGCTAGTTCAACTCCCTCATTTTACAGATGAGGAAACTGAGGCACAGAGGGCTTAAGTGTCTAAGGTAGGATTTGAACCCAGGCCCTCTGACTCCAGAATCAGTGTTTTGTTTGTTTTATTTTTCCCACCAGAGAGGGTATTCTGGGGAAAGTCTTATTGCAATATAGGTTGTGTTGGGATGGGGATCAGGGAAGTCAGTGACTCATGGAAAATGCCAATTCCAACATGTTCTGTGCCTGACACCTTTTACCAAGTTGAAGCTGTCATCCTCAGGTTGTTAGGAGTGAAGGCGGGAGGAAGGAAGAAGGAGGGGTCCTTGGGAATTGGGGGGAGTGATGAGTGACTTCCTTTGTCTGGCCTCGCCAAAGGTGGGCTAGGTGAGTCCTCTTCCTCTAGCGTCCTGCAGATGGTAGGGATCGTAAAGGTTGTTCCAGTTTTTCCCTTCTCAATGAATGAATGAATGGCTCATGAGATCCTGGGATCTGGAGCTGGAAGAACCTTAGAACTCACCTAGTCTAAACCCCTCATTTTATAGAGTGAGGAAATTGAGGCCCAGAGAAGGAAGTGACTTGTTCAAACCAAATTATCAAATGAGATAATGTACCCTTGCAAACCTTAAGGCACCATATAAATGCTGGCTATTTGTTATTGTTATTATTATTATTACCTGTAATCCAGTAGGTAGTTAGTAGAAGAGCCAAGATTTAACCCACGTCTGCCGACTTCAGTTCTGGGGTTCTTTCCATTACAGCACACTGCTTTGCCCATAAGACTCCATCTTCACACCTGCTCCTGGGGTCCTCCATTCATCATCCTCTGGGTGACCTACCTGCCATTTTGGGTAGGATCTGGAAGCCAGCACCAGTCATGGGTGGCCAGAGGATAGTTGGGCTGATCTAGCTTGGTGTTTCCGATTTGATCTTTTCTCCCCACCTCCTCACACCCTGGTTTTCCTTCCTAGGAGATAGAAGGCTGCAACGAGAGAAGCCTGAGAAGGCCCTGGATTACCAGGAGGACCTTCGAGGCCCTCTTCAGCTCACGGTCTTAAGGCATGGCAAGAGCGCCTACAAGCGTGGCTTTGATGAAGTGGATGCCCACCCTCCGCCCAAGAAGAAGAAGATCGACCTCATCTTCAAGGATGTTTTGGAGGCCTCACTGGAGACTTCAAAGATAGAGGAGCACCCTCTGGCCCCAGGCACCCCACTTGTCCTCAGGAAAGCTCCCAAGTTCCACTCAGAAGACATGTATGATCAGTGTGGGATGGCCGTACCCCATGGGCCCCAGGACCTCTCCAGGAACCAGGGGGAGAAGGAGTGGAAAGCTCCCCAAGGGGCCTCCTACGGCCCCTCCAAAGACACAGGCTTGCTGGAGGATGAGGAGGAAGAGCCTTCATCGTTCAAAGCAGACAGCCCGGCTGAGGCCTCCCTCGCATCCGACCCTCATGAGCTCCCCACCACCTCCTTCTGCCCTAACTGTATCCGCCTAAAAAAGAAGATACGAGAGCTGCAGGCAGAATTGGACATGCTCAAGTCCGGGAAGCTGCCCGAGCCCCCTCTGCTGCCACCCCAGGTACCGGAGCTCCCCGAGTTTTCAGACCCCACAGGTGAGTTGGCCTGGTTGAGACAATAGATAGAGGGAGAAGCACACAGTAGGCAGCGTAGAGGTGGCCAGAAATGCCACCGCTTGAGTCTTCTAAGGGGAGATGTGGTGTGTCCGGAGCCAGGGCGGACCTTGGGCAGAGGGCACCCATGGCCTCGGGGTGGGGAGGGTCCCACAGGCCTGGGTTACATTCCAGTGGGTGGGCTGCTCCAGGACTTTCCATTGTACCCCCACCCCTTGTCAATAAAGCAAGTTCCACCACAGGAAGGGGGTGTGTGCTGTGTTCTTGACATCTTCGTGGTGGAACCCAGTGGAGGGTGTTCCAGAACCTGGCCTCTGAGTCTAACTAGTCTCCATTCCCAATTTGACTGTGCCCAAGGTTGGAGTGGGAGCTAAAATTGGGAGGAGTGAGGTGGTATTCAGAGAGTGGAGAGACATGTTGCCTTGTCTCCTGTGCCTTAACCTACACCAATCCAGCCAATATTAAGTGCATTCTATGTACAGGAGGAAATAGAAACAAGGAGTAGTCCCTGCCCAGCTCGTGCCATAGAGGATAGAGCATTGGGCTTGGAATCAGGAAGGCTTATTTTCATGAACTCAAATCCAGCCTCAGACACTTACTAGCTATGTGACCCTGGGCAAGTCCTTTCACCTCTGCCTCAATTTCCTTATCTGTGAAATGGGGATAATGATAGCATGTACCTCCCAAGCTTGTTGTGAGAATAAAATGAGATGATATTTGTAAAGCATTTTGTAAATGTTAAGGCATTATATAAATGCTACTTATTAGTGCTAATAGAACATGTAATCTAGTCCTGTGGTTCCCAGCCTTTGGGATATGAGGACCCCTTTCTAAACATTAGCTACCTGATACTAGCTATCCTCTTAATATCTATTGACTGGAAAAAAATCCCTGATCCCTGACAAAAAGCTACTATGAACCTATACCTGACATTTGTCTGTTTGACAAATTGAGAATGATGAAAGGTTAAATCTCTCATGACTAGGGATAGAGGAAAAATGTGTAACTAGAAACAGGATAGAAGATACCACAAATGCCGGGATCAGCAGACTTAATTATGTAAAATTAAAAGGGTTTTGCATAATTAAATTCAGTGTTGATGACATCAGAAAGAAAGATATAGAATGGATTAAAAAAAACACCTTTCAAATCAACATCTCTGACAAAGGTTGAACATTTAAAACTGAAAGGAAATTGACAAACATCTATAAGATAGAAATAAATGTGTATTTCTTAATCACATACACAAGGACATATTAATATATATGTATATACCTACACATACACATACATACATGTACATCTGCATCTACAGATAAAATAGCAGTGCATAGATGTATGTGACATATTTATTCAGTCTACAGAAACTATGTTTGCTGTTTATGCATTTGTGAAGGCTTCTCAAAACCCCAGAGATTGAGATGAAGTCATTTCATCTGGGAGTGTGGCTTGAGAATACTGCTCCCAAGGGAACTGTCTGACCCTTGCCTTTAATGTCCCCCCACCTTCCCACCTTCTACCATGCTGCCATCTTTCCATCCAGGGTTAAAGTGGCCAGAGGGACAGACTGTCCTTGGGTGGTAAGTTGCAGAGCCCCTGGAACCTTTGGTTCCGTGGACCTGCCTCCAACTCTTGACCACCTTCATCAGTTAGTCCTGGCTGGCCATGCAACTGAAGCCGTCAGGGGTCCTGACTTACCTTCCCAATGGTGTAACCAATCAGTCAGTCAGCAAGCATTTACTAAGTGTCTACTATGTGCTGGGTATTGGGGATAAAGGGATGGACATAAAACAGGCTCGACTCTCTGGAAGCTTACATTTATTTGGGGAGACAATGTGTACATATGTGCGTACAGTTTATGCAAAATGTTGGTTTTTTGATTGGACCTGTGATGTCATAAGTATAGGGAACTCCCAATTCAGAAACTGCCTCTATCAATGCAGATTTATCAAGAGAATTACCAATGGCAATGGGAGGTTCCATGAGAGGGGTCACACAGCCAATACATGTCAAGGCAGCACTTCAACCCAGGTCTTCTGGTTCTAAAGCTAAATATTGGTCCCCGATACCATGCTGTCAAAATATTTAAAAATAAATACAAGGTCACTTGTGGGAAGGAGAATGATGGAATGGTGGTGGGGATGGGGCATTAGCTAAAATCTCATCGCGCTCTTATGTGACAACTGTCTCCAGGTCTGTTAGCCGTCAGTTGGCTGTAGACATGACAGGGAACAGTGACCCAGATCACCCAGAAGTCATTGCTCCATCTCTTGAATGCCTTCTCTGATTCTGTGCATTGGCATCCAGTTTGCCTTGCCGAATTACCCAGCCTAAGTACCTATAGAGTATAATATTGACTATTCTGTTATCATAACAGCACATACCTTCTCTTCCTGCTTCAGTGTCTCATCACATTAGAGAAGTGAGGCTGGGCTGTCAAAGGTAGGACAGTTGGATTTAGCTCTGATAAAGTCTTCCAAGCTGGGTCCAGGTACCCATGGCATGTGTCTGTCCTCTGAGGACCAGCCCTGCTTACCATATACAAGTTCGTCTCCTCTAGATTGGCCTCTGGGTAATGGGTTTCCAATCACTTGACAACATAATAGGCAGAAGAGTATTCCCTAAGGCAGGGAGGGCTTGTGATCTGCAGAAACTGCAATTCTTTGTAGTACTCAGGAGCCTAGTGCTTTATGAATCCCTAAGCCTTTTCTTTACAGCAACTCTGAGAGGTGAGTGGTGCCCAGCTTTGTCATCTCCACTTTACATTTGAGGAAGTTGAGGCCTAGAGAGGGCAAGAGACTTACTTAAAGTCTCACTGCCTAGGAAATGCTATTAGTTGTCAAAGCCAGAATATTGGAAGTTTATTTGCATTTCAAGAGCATGCCTTGACTCTGGGTGAGGGGAGGCAGCTGGGTGGTGGGAACTAGCCAGGGTGGCATTTATAGGTATGCCCTGGAAGGTGGATGATCGACATGCATCACTAGTGTTATTGGTAAATCAGATCCCTTACTAATATAGGAATATGTTTTGCATGACTTGACATGTATAATTGATATCATATTGTTTGCCTTCTCAGTGAATGGGGGGAGGGGCAGGGGAGAATTCGATGCTCAACATTTCCAAAGATTCAAATTTTAAAAATTTAAAACAATGTAATTTGGAAATATTTAACAAAATAAATAAAAATAATTTTAAAATAAACAAAATTAAATTATATCCCTTAGAAAATGGGATCCAAAAGTGAGGCATTAACTTGTTTGATACAGTAGGGCCCTTGGATGATAAGGCATCTGCTTCAGAAGATCCCATGTCCTTTCCAGCAGGGCATAAACTTCCCTTTCCGTTTCTCTTTCAGCCTCAGAAAGCGTGGTCTCCGTCCCAACCATGCTGGAGGATGATGACCAGGAGGTGGACTCCGCAGATGAGTCCGTCTCCAACGAGATGATCACCGCGACGGACGAGCCTTCAAAGATGTCCTCCGCCACGGGGCGCCGGATCCGGCGCTTCAAGCAGGAGTGGCTGAAGAAATTCTGGTTCCTACGGTACTCCCCCACGCTCAATGAGATGTGGTGCCACGTGTGCCGGCAGTACACTGTGCAGTCTTCCCGGACGTCGGCCTTCATCATTGGCTCCAAACAGTTCAAGATCCACACCATCAAGCTCCATAGCCAAAGCAACCTGCATAAGAAATGCCTGCAGCTCTATAAGCTCCGGATGCACCCGGAAAAGACAGAAGAGATGTGCCGGAACATGACTCTGCTGTTCAATACTGCCTACCACTTGGCCCTGGAGGGCAGGCCTTACTTTGATTTCCGGCCCTTGGCGGAATTGCTGAGGAAGTGTGAGCTCAAGGTGGTGGATCAATACATGAACGAAGGGGATTGCCAAATTCTGATCCACCACATCGCCAGGGCTCTGCGGGAAGACCTGGTGGAGCGCATCCGTCAGTCGCCGTTCCTCAGCATCATCCTGGATGGGCAGAGCGATGACGTGTTGGCTGACACTGTGGCCATCTATGTCCAATACACGAGTAGTGACGGGCCCCCTGCCACAGAATTCCTGTCCTTGCAGGAGCTGGGGTTCTCGACCACGGATAGTTATCTCCAAGCATTAGATCGGGCGTTCTCTTCCTTGGGGATCAGGCTGCAGGATGAGAAGCCAACCATTGGCCTGGGTGTGGACGGAGCCAACATCACGGCCAGTTTGCGGGCTAGCATGTTTATGACGATCAGGAAGACTTTGCCCTGGCTACTCTGTTTGCCCTTCATGGTGCACCGGCCCCACCTGGAAATCTTGGACGCTATCAGCGGGAAGGAGCTCCCTTGCCTGGAGGAGCTCGAGAATAACCTGAAACAGCTATTGAGTTTCTACCGCTATTCACCCCGCCTGATGTGCGAGCTTCGCTTGACGGCCTCTACCCTTTGCGAGGAGACGGAGTTCCTGGGAGATATCCGGGCCGTGAGGTGGATCATCGGGGAGCAGAACGTTCTCAATGCGCTAATCAAGGACTACCTGGAAGTGGTTGCCCACCTCAAGGACGTCAGCGGGCAAACGCAACGTGCGGACGCGTCCGCCATCGCTCTGGCCCTCCTCCAGTTCCTCATGGACTACCAGTCAATCAAGCTGATCTACTTCTTACTAGATGTGATTGCTGTGCTCTCCCGCCTGGCCTACATCTTCCAGGGCGAGTACCTCCTCGTGTCCCAGGTGGACGACAAGATCGAAGAGGCCATCCAGGAGATCAGTCGGCTGGCCGACTCTCCTGGGGAGTATCTGCAGGAGTTCGAGGAGAATTTCCGAGAGAGCTTCAACGGCGTCGCCGTGAAGAACCTGCGGGTGGCTGAGGCCAAATTCCAGTCCATCCGGGAGAAGATCTGCCAGAAGACCCAGGTGATCTTGGCCCAGAGGTTTGATTCCCGCAGCCGGACCTTCGTGAAGGCCTGCCAGGTGTTTGACCTGGCAGCCTGGCCCAGGAGCGCCGAGGAGCTCATGAGTTATGGCAAGGAGGACGTGGTCCAGATCTTGGATCACCTGGAAGCCATCCCGTCGTTCTCCAGGGAGATCTGCCGAGAGGGGATGGACCCGAGGGGAAGCTTGCTGATGGAGTGGCGGGAACTCAAGTCTGACTACTATACTAAAAATGGTTTCAAAGACCTCATCAGCCACATCTGCAAGTACAAGCAGAGGTTTCCCCTACTGAATAAAATCATCCAGATCCTTAAGGTCCTCCCCACTTCCACAGCCTGCTGTGAGAAAGGCCGAGTCGCCCTCCAACGAGTGCGTAAGAACAACCGCTCCCGCCTGACCTTGGAACAGCTCAGCGACCTTTTGACAATTGCTGTAAACGGACCCCCCATCGCCAATTTTGATGCCAAAAGGGCGCTGGATAGCTGGTTCGAGGAGAAGTCTGGCAACAGTTACACGCTGTCTGCTGAAGTCCTCAGTAGGATGTCTGCCCTGGACCAGAAGCCAGTGCTTCCAAGCGTGGACCACGGGTCGGAGTTTTACTCGGATCTTTAGGAAGTCATTGCCTCAGATTTTACCAAGCTGTTGAATAATTTTTTAAAAGAAAAATATCTATACTCTTAAGCTTTGATATATTATATAAATATATATATTATATATATATGAACCCACACTGAAAATTTTTTAAAAAATTGAGGGGACATGCATCTGACTGAAGCTACTCGGAGTTTTCAGAATGGGATGATGTCAAACACTTTCCTCTTATCTACAAAACTTGGCAGCTGCAGTATCCGTGGCAACTCACTCTTACTCATCATGGCCCATGCTAGGGGCCTCTGGGATTCCAATCTAACAACCAATCAACAGTATAAGCTAAAATGACGGGTCTCTGTCAACCACCTCTCTGGTAGCTCACCTCATGTATGTTCTTGTTTGGGTTTTTGGTGTTTTTTTTTGTTGTTCTTGTCGTTTGTTTGTTTGTTTGTTTTTTGGTTCCTCTGGTGGGTCGGAGGGGTTGTTTTTTATTTGTCTGTATGTTTGTTTTGGGGGAAGGTGGCTTTGTTCGCTGGTTCTGGCCCAGTTGGAGTCGGGTTTCTTATTTCTGATGGCAGTTTGTGAAATGGAGTGTTTTCTCCCTTCTCCTTCCTCCATTTACTTCAATTCGGGAATCGACTTGCTGATTTTATTTTCCTCACTGTCTTAGAAGCAAAAGTGTCAGGCAAATCGTGACACCTTTCATCCATCCCCTCCTCCCCAGTTCCTGCTGGTGGGAGGAGGAGGAAAGCCAAGCGGTTCATCTCCCCTTGCTCCTCCCCTGGTCTCCACCCAGGTACCCCTCAGCAATAGATGATGGGGTTTGAACCAGGTGGAAGAGAGGGTGGACCTTTTGCATCTATGTTGTGATGTCATAGGGGATAAGACAGTAACACTTCTTTCAGTTCCAGGGCCCTTGGGAACAGTCAACAATCCTCCAAGTCCAGACCCAAAATGAGGCAAAGATTTGGGGCTGAAAATGAGAAAATGACAACAATGAAAAGATATTCTAATTATTTATATTCTATAGGCATAGATTGTTGTGTTGGGGGGTGGGATGGGGTTGTTATTATTATTTTGTAATAGAGTCACAGAATACCTGCCCTTATTCAGTAGCAGGTACTATCAATGCAAAATGAGTCCTGGGTTAGTCATATTGGGGACTTCCCAGAGGTTCACTCCTTCTCTTGTGACCAAGGTGATCACACAGTCAGTCCACAGCCTGGCAGGAAGCTGGATGCTTTGTCTATCCCTGTGAAATCTTTCTTCTTTGAAGGGTAAAAATGTCCTAAAGAGAATGAAAAAAAGTAAAAAGTGGGACAGGCCTCTCAGTGAATTAGCCTACACACAGCCACACTTATATGGTTGCACACATGGTCACACATATGCACTTTCACAATGCACGTACCTGGACACCCTAACATGCACATGGTCCCATATAGGCTTACGTGCTTGGACGTGGGTCCGAGCATAGCATACCTGAATGCATACAAATGCATAATCATACACACACACACGCATACACACACACACACACCAGACACATTGACAAATGAAAATATCATAAGCTTTAGAAATAGCCACTTACTTGCCCTCTAAGACAAGTACCAACTTAGACCAAGGAAGTCTAAATTAGGGCTGTTTCGTTCATTTGCTACCACTGTACCTCCTAAGGAAATCAAAAATAATCGTGTGGGCTGATAAACTTTTGTACGTATTTATAAGGATGACATATATGTGTATTTAAATCAAAATCCAATTCCCTATACCCTGGACGCAGGTCCATTTTGTTGGGTGGGGGTGGGAACCGTTCACATTTCACACACCTCATCCTAGGCAGCAGAACGGGTCAGATGGGGAACAGCGTGGTCGGGTCACCAGCATCCTCAGCCTGGCTTTTTGAAAAACACCAGGGCTGGGAAGGTTTCCTCCTTCACTTTCTCCTGTCTCAGAGGACCTGGTCCCTTACCAGAAGCTGGCCATCTAGGACCTAAACTTATAGTGTAGACGTCATCAACACTGAACCTTTCACACTCTCCCTTCCCTGTCCTTCTACTGTCTCCTGTTCCCATCCCCATCCCTCATCCCCCTTGGTTTTGGTGCTAAGAGAACTCTAGAACCATTGCTGCTAGTCGATAGCTTTTCATTATATAAATATATTATATTATATATATATATTATTTTTGAAACTTTTTTTGTTTGTTTGTTTTCAACAGTGATGTAGCATGTTGTCAAAATCCAGTCTCTCCCACTTACTTGTTTCACTGCCAGGCCTCATAAGCTGCCTTCTACAATGAAACAAAGCACCCCTGCCTGGCTGTCACTCAGCGTCCCCCTGGCGCTCCCTACCCTTGCACCTTCCCCGACCTTAACCTAGGAGGGAGGTGGGCAGGACCTGTACCTAAGGACCCAAGCACTTCCTGCCTTACCCCCAAAGAGTAGGCCCACTGACCTGGCTTTGCACTGACCCCTGACTCCCCTGCATTCATTGTGTAGACATGGTGATGGGGGGCAGTGGTGATGTCATGAAAAGAGCACTAAATATAGAGCCAGGGGACCTGAGTTCGAATCCTGGCTCTGTCCCTTACTCCCTTTGTGACTTTGAACAAGTCACTCACTCCTGGCCTCCTTCTCTGTCCAATAGGAATGTTGGAGTCCATGGCCTCAAAGGTCCCTTCCAGCTCTAGGCTTTCACCCAAGTAGGGTACTTCTGGAAAGCACTAGACTGGACCCTCCCTTTTCTCCTTTGCTTCCCCATCTGGACCACACTCAGATCCACAAGCATATCTGTCAGTAAGATTTCCATTGAGGCAGCTTGGGAAGGCTGGACAAGAGGGAGAAACGTGTGAGGGCAGGGCTGGACTTCAATCAGATTAGTGCCAAGGCAGCCCCAAAGCGAGGGACTCAAGGCCAACTGGCCCCATGCACCTTTTCCTGGCCCGTCCTACAGGATGGGGACTCTTACTCATGTGTAAACCACTCCATGTAGAATAGGAGGGGAGGTTCCACATGCTGGCCTTTGGGGCTTAGCCCCAGGCTCTGGTCCTGGGAGGGTGGATACAAATGTGTCCCCAGGGCTCTGTGGTCAGCTTTCCGTCCTGAGTCCTTCCCCGATGGCCTTCCGGCATCCAGAAGAGTACACTAGCAAGGGACCGTAGTCTCTCCGGACTTGACTCCTAACGTCGGGTTGACGTCTGTAGCCTCGGCCAGGCCGAGGGTGTAATATGATGTGCAGGGGGGGCCTGAAGAAGCAGGAGCTTTCTGGCTGTCCCACCAAGGCTTCCAGGGGGACACGGGCCCCCTAGCAGGGTACTGCCCCAGATAGACGGCCCAGGGCAGCATCCTCATAGCGTTAGGCCTTCTCTCACCTGCCGTTGAGTTGTTAAGTGATCTAAACCTCCTTCACGACAGATCTAACCTGTGAATTCTTATGCTCCGATGCTCCCATGCTATTTCTCCCCCTTCAGCCTCCTTGAAAGGGGTCTTCTGGTGGATGGCACTCTCAGGTGAACTGCCCAGGATACTGTATTTCTCATTCCCTTAAGCTGATCCTCAGAACACCTCCCCTTTGAGTCACCACTGATAGTCTCTTGGGGCCCCAGGCCCCCCTGTTACTGTCACCTTAGTCTAGAGTGGGACCTTTTGCCTATTCTTTGGCTCCCAAGTGAGAATTGTGGACTCAACATTCAATGCTCTGGGGCACTGGCCGTGGGCTAACTGAAGAAAGTTTAGTCTCTTGTGCTTGGGCAAGGTCAGGGCACTGGTTTAATTTGAACACAGGTCAAGTGGGTGCAATAGAACCATGGCAAGGAGAGAAGCCCCCGTGGCAGAGATGTTATGTGTTTTTCAACTGGGGGTCCATTGTTACCCTTCCATAATATGATCTTCAGACTAAGCCCTTGAGAGATGACTTCTCTGAATGACCCCCTAATCCCCAACAAGACCCAGGGCACAATCTGCTAATGTACTACATTGGGTTGCACCTAACAGCTCTTCCACTTATATAAGGCTGGAGAGTTTCAAGATGGAAGCACCTGTAGGATGTTGGGAAAATTATATCACCACTTCTCTGTGCCTCAGTTTCTTCATCTGAAAAAGGATGGAATTGGACTAGATGGTCTCTGAAGATTGAATTTTCTGTGTTCTCAGGTCTCTTCTGGCTCTGACGTTCTAGGTTTTAAGGTCACTTTCAATTTTAACAGTCTTGTGTTCTAAGATTTCTTCCAGCTCAGACATTCTGTTTTCTAGGTTCTAAGGTCCATCATGACTCGGACGGCCTATTCTAAAGTTCCTTTTAGTTTTAATGTTCTAAAATCTTTTCTACCTCAGACATCTATGTTCTAAGGTTCCTTCCAGCTCAGACATTCTCTTTTACAGGGTCAAAGGTCCATTATAGCTCAGTCTGTGTTCTAAAGTTCCTTTTAGTTCTAATGTTCTAAGATTCCTTCTACCTCAGAGATTCAATGTTCTAAGGTTCCTTCCAGCTCAGACATTCTCTATTCTAGGTTCTAAGGTCCATTATAGCTCATACAGTCTATGTTCTTATGTCTCTTCACTTTAATGTTCTATGTTTTAAAATTCATTCTACCTCTGAATTCTGAGTTCTAGGCTCCCTTCCGATTCTGACATTCTATGTTCTGAAAAGCCATCACGTTCTAACATTTTAAGTTCTGTTTTCTGAGTGAGATCCTTCCTAGCTTTGACATTCTGGGTACTATGTTCATACATTTCATAGTATGTATTGTAGACTTTACTATTGTCATATTAAGCCTTTTAATGCAAGATGGGATTCTATCAACCTCTACATGTTCTAAGGTGCTTCCAAATCCAACATTCTATGTTCTGAGCTCTCTTCCAGGTATGACATTCCTTGTTCTGTATTCTGAAGTTCTTTCTTGTTCTGAATTCTGTGTTCCGTTATCCAAGGTACCTTAAAATCTCATGATCTCACATTCTTATACTCTCATCCATATTTAGATATGGGGCCCTCCCTGTTCTGTTGCCTCCAAGGCATTGGGAAGGAGCACCATCCCACTAATAATATTCAGGGTTGTGCATCTATGACTT